GTTTGACTCACCTGGAAGACCTGGGGTGAGTGGAGCTGGCTCAGTGGTCCTGCTGGTGGTGTTGCTAGGACAGCTAATATTATGGTCAGAGCAATTGATCAGGGAGCTGTGGGAAAGGGGCTCTGCACAGACAGCGTGACTGCAGGAGCACCAGATTCAGACCAGAGAACCTGGTTTCCTACTTGTCTTCTAACCGTGATCTTGGGGAAGTTGTTCTTTTCAGTCTCTTAATCGTTGCGAGGAAGAGTGCGCTGTACACACAAATTGCATCTTAATAGGTGGAAGGGAAAAGGTTGGCATGTGGGCGACACTGAGATTACAAAGGAATTGTGGAAACCAGAAGAATCAACCTTGAGAGCCACTTGTACGTACATGTCAAACATATCCTATTCATTCCATCAGGTGGGTCAGTCCTGGCAACATTGTTTGTAAGGGTACAAGGTAGAGACTTCCAATAAATTCTCTGAAACTTTTGATGTCTATTAACTTTTAAGAATAGGGAGTCAGGAAGCTCCTTCCCCTGCACAGTGTTAGCCCAGCCAGACACAGGTGGGGCCCGGTGAGTTCCAGTGGGCGTGGTGTGTTACTGCCTGACTCCTCGACTTGGCTGACTCCTCCCACTGGGGAGGTGTGAAAAGTGGGGTCCCTGAGAGGCAGATGCTCTTGAGTTAGACTGTACCAGGTTGTGTGGACCCTCTGCCCGGCCCCACATGCACCTGGCCAACAGCCCTGGTCTCAGTAGCTGTGAGACCCCAAATGCAAGACCCTTGAAGGCTCAGCTCAATACAGTCTTATTCTAGTGACTCTAGAAGGTCATAATTTGGTACAGAAAGAACCCATTTTAAAATGTCAAATCCCGTGTCTTGAACAGGAAGGAGGCAGGGTTTTGAGGAAGGAGAGCCTGGACGCGGAAGTCTGCGCTGTGCCTGTCAGGGGAGACCCACCTGGATGAGGTCCCTGGACACCATTCCTTTGGCTTCTGCTTCACCAGGCAGAGCCGGGGTCCTGAGAAGTGTGGGTCTGAGGCCCAAGGGCAACAGCCCATGAGGCTTCTGAAAGACCCACCAGAGCTTCTAGACTGCAGAAAGGTTGGGAAGCCTCACCTTTGAGAGGGAGTCTGAGTCCAATCCGAGGGAGGAAGGTGGCTAGATGCGAACACTGACTCCTATCACGGGTCACTGAAGGTTGTCAGAGGCTCCTGTTTGCATAAGCATTTATGTTTAAACACTCCAACTCCTAAGTGTGTGCCATGTACATACAGATGAACGCAGGCACGGGCTAGCTGACGTGACAGCGGCAGAGCCACGTGAGCACCGTGCTTGGAGTGGCGCAGCCACAAGCCAGAAACCGCCCGGAGCCAGGAGGAGCTGGAGGGGTCCCTGCTACGTGCTCCTGCACCGCGGGTTTGGACTTCTAGTCTCTAGAACAGTGACCAGCTGCTGTTGTCTGAAGCCACCCAGTTGTGGAACTTTGTTCTGGCAGACCTAGGAAATGAGTACAGACTTTGGTAAGAATAAACTGATTTAGTAAAGAATTCTAACTCTTGAAAATAGAATGAAGCGAAGAAGTTGAGATCCTCCTAGGCCCAATTAACTATCCCTATGTGTAGCCAATTTGCTGGACCAAAGAAAAACAGTTAAAGTGATTGAAAGCTGCCCTGGAGACCAGAATCAGTTTAGTAACAGGATTCACACGTGCGGTTTTCCAGGTGAACTGAAACAGATAAACCTGAAAATTGTTGTTTACTTTCTAAATATTAGCCATTCATTTAAAACTATGTATGATGCTTTTAAATAACTCCTCTGCTAATGAATTACAGATTCCAAATAATAGCTGACTTACACAGATGTACCTGTTGAGTGTTTCCTCTGCCCTCATTTAGAGAAGAGAGAGACAGAAAAAAAAAATGATCTACATGTTAACTCTGATATTTTATGTATCTGTCTATTGGCCTGTTAAATTCTCTAAGTTCTCATCTCAGGAAAATTATTATTGGTCAAATTCCAGTTATTATGAGTACCAATAAACATAAAACTTTCCAAAGTTTTAAAACATTTGATATAGAC